CCCCCCAAACTCCCCCAAAAGAAAAACCTGTCAAGAATAATCAGCTCACCAACAGCTCCAGCCAGTCAAAGGAGAGCAATTGCTGCTTGGAGCAGCAGGATATCAACCTCAATGGCTTGAGAAACGCCGCTCCTGCGCCATTTCTTGACGCCAGTTACCAGAAAAGACCGACCGGCCAATCTGCGCTTCTCCGCCGCTTCATCCATGCTTTTGAGGACTTCGCACAGTTGATCATGGACATCTGGGGTCCAGTGGTCTCTAAGAAACTGCCAGAAGTCTGAGCTTTGGGTGGCCGTAGCATCTCTTTCTCTCGTGAGTCGATGGACTGCTCCAAGTAAATCAAAGGCCTTTCCCAAGAAAGTTTCACCCTGCCCTATAGTCTCCAGGTGATGAACCAACTGAAGAATAATCACGCTGTTTTCCATTGCTATTTGAATCATTTCCGATTCACGGTTAAACATCTTAGTCTGTGCACGCAGGATAGCTATACCCCCACGTGCTTCTAAAGGTTCCGCTAAATCTCGCAAGGCCAAATCCCTTCCGAGATTTAGAGGCACTAGCAGGGCAACAGCCACCTTCAAGTCCGTCAGAAGCTTTTGTCTTGAAATATGGATGCGGTTAAGCAGGTGCTTTGCCTTGAACTTCGGAACGGAAGAATCGACTGGGTTCGTCTGCTGCGCTGAGGCCTCCGCAGCCTCTTGTGAGGTATCCTGCAGCTCCCTCAGCAAATCCGCAAGCCCTACCATCTCCTCTGGGTTCTCCTCTTCCAAACTTGCTTCCTCACCTTCTAAAGCTTCAGCCATAGTCCTGAGCTGCTCCAAGCCTTCGACTCTGGCTGTAAAGGCGCCTAGGACAGCCACGAGAAACGCAGTTCTCGCCCTATGAGCTTCCGCCTGCTTCGGACTGCCCTCTTCCTGGGCAGGCGCCGCCTCCTTTACTGCTTTCTGCATGTCTTGTAGGAACTGCGAGGGGCCTTTGTCCTTGTAGGCACTCAATACATCGTCTAGGTAGCTGTCTGCGATGTCTTTCTGTGTAGCTGCAGAGGCGCAGTTCAGCGCCTTCAGTGCACGGTCCAACGACGCCGCTGCAGCCTCTTCCCCCGGAAAAACGCCAGAAACTGCAACAAATGGCAAACCCACACCACAATCAGTGCTTACTGCACACTCAACGGGATAAAGCATCTTTCAGCCAGGACAGGCACTGACAAGGCTCGGCATAATCTGCTCAATCGTACCCCTCCCACCTATTTCCTGTGATGGAAGTTCAAGGCGTTCAGGTCTTTGCATTAGCTTAATAAGCTCCCTACTAAGGTGCTCATTAAGAAGCTCCATTCTATTTTGCCCCTCAAGGCCTTCGTCAACGTCCGCCTTCTTCAGATGTAGGACGCGTCCTACTGGTGCTAGTTTGAGGGCTGGAGAAATCTTCTTAAATGCCCAAGCCACGCTACCAACACTAACAAAGATAACCAACACGAGAAACAGTGAAAGACCAATGCTGCAAAATCTTCCCTTTGACCCAGGTTTGGCGTCCAGCCCCCTTTGCGCCGCAAGCGCGTGCAACTGCTGTTTCTCCAAGGTCGCCTGTGATGACAAATCGTCTGCGGCTCCTCCCTCTGACGCCTCGGAAGTGCAGTTCTTGGCGGCGTGGGTTGAGAGCCCACGCTCTAGCCGTGAACCGTCGGGCATTTTCCTCCATATCCAGAGCAATTTGAGGCCAAATGGGCCTCAAACTGCAACAGTTTCGGCAGTTCGGGGAAGGAAATCTGGGTTTCCAGATACCAACGCACTAGCCCACTGCATGAAATAATCCATGGCCTGAGCAACTGTAGTGCACAGGCATTACAACGGAAGTCCAGTGGATGCTCCTGTGGCTGAGCTCTGTGAAAAGGGGATGTGTATAACACCAACGTGCTCAAATGTTAACGATTACGGGAAATTCAGGACCACCGGCCCACTGTGCTCGGTAGCCTCACAGGGATTGGGGCTGGGTGGCGTGGCTGCGGCAACGACCTTCGGAAGGAAAGAGGGGAGTTCATTTCTGAGACACTAGATCTTCCATAATGGACCTAGAACTCAAATGTGTTTTAATTTGTGCTATCCTGCTTAATTAGGCACAACTAGCCAGGAAAAGCTGAGTCCAGCTATGGTAACAAAGTGTGCACCAAGTTGAACCACCTAGGGGTCCAGTCAGGGCAGCTGTCACTACACAGACTACAGTGCCGATAGTCTTCCTTGGCAGAAGACTATCGGCGCATGCCACCATTCTGCGCCCGAAATCCAAGGGTGACAATTAAATATGCAGAATAAATATGAAGTCAGACAGAATAAACGTTGAGTGCGCAAGTTTAGAGTATCTTACACACAAGGGAAACCGAATTTGTACTGGTTCGGGCATGGCAACACCGGGCAATAGCCGCTTGCAGAAAGCTCTGTTGGCCCAACTTTGCCGCCTCCTTAACCAGTTTTGCTCAGATAGGTATTCACTTAACTATTTTATAGGCAATAATATTCCAGATTTGTTCTGGCATCGAAGGCCAAATTATTCGTTGCCTTGACATGCCAGCCTAGTGCACTTAAGCCGATGCTGGAAGACGTGTTCGGAGTGGGCAAACACTCCGATGGTCTGCCTAGGCAACCAGCAGCAAGCACAGCTCTTCAGCGACTGTCTTCGGCGTTTGTGCTCATATAAAAGTTGGGTCTTTCCCGCTTATATGTTGGTTTATGTCTTTGCGGAGTTGGCAATGATGTTTGATGTGCCACGAACCCTTACCCGGCCCACACACGGTAGCTTTGGGGGGACTCAAGGTGTTCCATAGCTGTCCACAGTGTTCATGCTTACACTCATTAAGGCACGTTTGCCCCTGCTTGTGCAGCTGCCATGCACGGGAGTTGTCAGGATGTGCGCTGCAACTCGCGGTAGTCCATCTCTTCTTCCGCCATTGAAGACTTTTGAGCCGCTGATATCAGGGTGCCTAGAAGCTGGGAAGGGAAGTAAATTACATTTAAAGAACTCCCATATTGATTATTTTGCCCCCATTGTTCTTCACAGTATTCATTTGATGGTATTGGGGACTCTACATTACACGTAGTAAGACACCCCATGGTTCACAAGTGCTAGAACTTTTTTGTATATATGTATCCTTCTGTACCACTCATGGCTATGCACCTGGAAGGCATGCTGTGGGTTGAGGTCGGTTGCTCGCACTTGTGAACCAAACTTTCCCAATATCTCCTTCGAGCCATAGACTTACTTCCCTTGGATATTGATTAGGACCTGCTCTGCGGTGGAGACGCAACGAATCATTAGGAGTCTCATTAAATTAAATGAAGTTGAGATTCTGCATCTCAGCAAACGGAAAATGCCCTTACAGCAACAGCTACTCACAAAGAATGACTCCGCCTTTAGTGGCTAGCCGGATTTGAGTATAGCCCGTATGCGATGGCACCTGTACAGCTATATTTCTGTCATCAAGCACGAGACGAAAGGTAGTCGCTTGTGGCATCTTCGTTACTAAATGTGGAGGTGCGCCAATGGTAGCTGTATCTTAGCAGAGGTACTTGTTTTCCGGAGATCATACGGATTATTGAAGCTTTCCTGCCAGCATTGCGATGTAGGTACACTCCTAACTTGGTAGGGGAAGGAGATATGGGGTTTGACGAAGCCCAACCAAGGGGAGCTCCCAATAAAGCATTATACCGAGAAGTGTCAGTTGTTGGCGACCGTTTGCCCAACGGTGGGTTGAGTCGGAACCTCTTTCATTGCCGGGTTGTCCCATGATCATGATTAGGGACTTGTACGTCGGGCCACTTCACCACAATATATTCCTAGGTTTATCGTGGGTAATGCATAAATGCATATCCGCTCTCTTGATAATGCCACTGAGGTGTAGGTGCAGGGAGGCGAGGATACAGTGCATCTCTCAGCATATCCAATACCATCTGTACCATTTACGATTAGAGGAGTGGGATAAGGGTCCCGGGGAGAAAGTAGGGGTGTGGCTCCAAAGCAATTTGGAGAAGATGTAAAAAACGCCAGACAAATGCATGCATTCCGTCTCTAGGGTCTTAAGAAGACCGTCGATACAGTTGGGGCCGAGGAACAGCAGAGGTGGGAAGAATTGAAGGGAGAGTTCCCAGCCATATTAAGCAAGATCTAGTGGGCAGCGGTCAAAGATATCTGCTTCACTTGTATGGCAGGCAGATTACTGGAACAACATCGTTAATCCCTGTCCCAGCTGACGAAAAGTCTACAAAACTACGTTATCGAAAGTGTTGTTCGGTGGCTTTGGTTTCTAATGCAATACGACTCCACGGTTGTTGAAGATGTTCAAAAAATCACCAACTTGATCGCTGATGTACTTTTCCGACGCCCTACCGGTCAGGCCTCGTTCTCTACAGCTGCGCTTGTGTGTGAGCACCCCTATTTCCCCTTTCAGTGGCGTTTATTGTATTCCTCAGATACTCAGGGGACTGTATTTGTCTCTAAGCTCCAAAGAATAGTGACTCCAAAGGGTTTTGCAAAATCGGGAAGCGATCTTCTGCGCGGCTGCCCCAATACGCAACACCGTGGGCAGCCAGTTGGTTGGCTAGAAGCAAATGGTGATGCTGCATGCACATGATGTGAAAGAAGCAACGGATGCAGCCGAAGGTAACCTAGGCTGAGCACTAACAGTAGGGTTTTGCAAATCAAGTTGCAGGAGGTTGCGTTAGAACTCCAAGTTGGCCGCTTCCTTTGCCTCAGCTCCAGGAGCTTGAGCAGCGGCGGTCCTGGCGCCTGCAAACTGGGAAGAAATGTCTGATGTATTTAACACCAAATACTTATTTTAAGTATTTGGGGCCCATTGCAGCCCGTTCTACCCCCCAGATAATATCCAGCACCCCCCCTCCCCCCCTCCTTCCCCCAGCACACACACAACCGTCCTGAGATGCAATGCAGTTGGAATACCCGCGAAAGTAGCAGACTTCTAGTAGCAGTCTCTTACACGTTTCCAGGCGTCTTTGGTACAGCAACTCAACAGCTTGGAGCTGAGTGTCATTATGTAGTCTGACACCTTGGTTATACTTGTGATGGAAGACAGCCCCACATGCAAGAACAACCAAGCTTTCTGTTCTGCTAGCAAGAACACTGGAGACAGTAGTTACATACTCCTGCTTGCGTGAAGGCTGTTTACCAGGGCCAAGTGATGTCTGGTTTGACAACAAAGACACGCTTGCCAACATCGGCCAGGGTACCGTACACACAAGAACTCCCGCCCCCCCAAGCAGCTAGTAGCTACAAATGCCACTCATTATGTGGCTGAAATTGACCCTTTCTTTAAACACCATCCTCTGAGGAGCCATCAGAATGTGTGAGTGTTACAACGGCACTTCACCTCTACGCTGTGTTGAGGACGCAGGGCAACGGAGTAGTTGCTGCAGCAATCGCTGTAAGGGCTTTTATGGTGCTGTTGGGACGTACATGACACGAAAAAAGTCACATGCGTACGGTGCAGCCCCCATTCTCAGCTGAGGGAACTGCTACTCCCACCTGCCTGGGGAAGGCCGCTCTCTGCCATGCTAGCGTGTTGCTGGGGGGAGACCAAAGAGCACGCTCGCGGCTGCCGTTGTCCCCAACCATTGCAACATGAGAACTATTGAACTACATGTCATTAAATTAATATTACTTCATCTGAACTATTCCTCTTCACCGGGATTCACCTCGCAGCGCGAGGGACGCCGTGCCCCCCACAGCAGAAGGCAAGGGACCCTGAGGCCTGCTCGGGTGTGCGGGCAGCTCCGCTTTACGTATTGTAGACCTCCTTCTTCATCTGCAGTGTACGTACACCTCAAGGCCGAGGTAAGAGTGTATTGCCCGTCGACTGCGCTGCTGCAGTTGGTTTAGCGCCGGCAGCAGCGCTGCGGCTGCAGCTGCATCACTAGCCACTGCAGCAGCAACAACAACAGTTCGTCAGCGTGGGGCTGCTCCCTCAATTCAAGCAGTTGATTTGTTAAGCAGCGTTTGCTGCTGCAGCTGCAGCTGCAGGCCGCTGCAGGCCGCTGCAGAGACAGCTGCCGTAGGCGCTTTGCCATGGCAAGACGGGGGAAGGGCCCGCGTGGTGGCGCTTCAAACAACGGCCAGCAGCAGATGCAGCCGCTGCTGCAGAAAACAACGGAGAGGACGGGAGGGGAACATTGCTGCCCTGAGGCTCACTCATCTGCGCCAGAACCGGAAGCCCTTAGAGAGGGGGAAGGTGCTACCAGCAATTGCTGCAGCAGCCGCCGACTTTGCTGCAACGGGAGTCAGAAGAGCAGCAGCAGTATAAGGGAATGTTGCAACGAACCACCACGTGAAGGATGTGGGGACAACAGCCACTGCAACCGCAGCAACCGGCGCTGCGTACAGCACCAAGTTCGGGGGCAGCAGCAGCAACTGCGGCAGCAGTCAGTCGAGCCACTGGATCAGGAACTGATGGCCTCGGGGCCACATAGTTGCGGGGATGTTTGCACGAGCGCCTGCTCGGCTGCTTCTGAGCCGAAACGGGAGCAGCAGCAGATACCTCCACCCCACGGTGAGACCACAGCTCGGTCAAGTGGAGACAGGTGCTCTTCTCCCTCTCAACAGCAGCAGCAGCAGCAGGGGTCGCAAGATCAGCAATGCTGTGAAGAAGCAGCGCATGGTGATAGTGTGCGCGTGCCGATTCAGACGGGAATAGGTACCCGCACGGACGAGTCTCGCGTGCTTCGGCGGCAGCTAGCTGTTGACACAGCTGCTGCGCGGGCCCGAAGAAAGCTGCTGGTGGCCTCAGCCGTGTGTTTGGTGTTCATGGCTATAGAAGTGATCGCTGGTATCGCATCTAACTCCCTCGCTCTCATGACAGACGCCTCGCACCTCCTCTCGGACCTCTGCGCCTTCCTTATCAGGTGGATTGGGGAGAGGGACAACGAAGCATGTAGAAGCGCCAGCTGTCTCAGTTTGCGTGCACCCCTGTGGCCAGTTTCGTGGGCCTTTCTTCTGTCTGTTGCATCGGTTTCGCCGGTTCTGTTGCTGCTCCCTTATCCCCTGCTGTCCTTCAAATGTAGTCACGGCGTGTCCAACTACCTCCTGCCCTTTGTCTCTGGGAGCATCTTCTCTCCCCATCCTCTGTGGCCTAAACTGTGTCCTCTTGGTTTCCGTCGCTCCAGTCTTCTTTCCACGTGTTCCTTTAGCTTTGCCCCTTTGGTCGTTTGCTTACAACGCAAGGCTCTGGACCTGCATGGGGTGCTGGTGCGCGGGCGTCTCTGTTTGTCGTTGTTTGACTTCTACTTATCATGTGCGCGTTCAGTGTTGTGTGTGTGTTGGCGTCTGTTGTATCTGCCGTTCTTCGTATGAAGTTTTTCGCTCATTCTTGCTTCGCTGTGTGCGGTTGTCTGTCTGTCCAGCTTGTTTGCCTTATGGGTGTCGCAGCTGAAAGGGACCATGTCGATGTCTTTCGGGTATCATCGAGCAGAGATTTTGGGGGCTCTAATGTCCGTGCTGCTGATTTGGGGTGTCACTGCAGCTCTTGTGGTGGCAGCGCTGCACCGCATAGCTTCGCCACAGAAGGTGCACGGAGGCCTCATGCTGCTTACAGCATCCATCGGAACCGCTGCCAATTTGTTTATGGCACACATTCTCCATATACACTCCCATGGTATCGGGAGAGTTCACACAACCCTTCCGGGTTCGTCATCAGATGAAGGTAGCCATTCCAGCAGCAGCCGCTGCTGTGGCGGCAGCACAGAAGCAAGGAGTTTGCTCCCGGCAAGAACACCCGGGTGCTGCAGTGGCAGTAGTAGTAGTAGTAGTAGTAGTAGTAGTAGTAGTAGTAGTAGTAGTAGTAGTAGTAGTATTAGTAGTAGTACCGGCAGCAGCTCGGGAAACAGCCATGAGGCTAACGGGCACCATCATGACGAGGGGCACGAGGTGCTCCTCCAGCAGCAGGGAAGTGACCTTGACAAGCGGCAGCAGCCAGCCGTAGCAGCAGGAGAAGGGGACGTGTATGTGCGGATGGACGAGGATGACCCAGAGGCAGAAATAGAGAGCATGAACCTGAGGGCTGCTTATATACACGCAGTTGGAGACCTCCTGCAGAACATCGGGGTCATGATTGCGTCGGCCATCATCTGGTGCTGTCAAACCCTAGACCAACTTTGACTCAAAGCTGCACCACCTAGCCGCAGTCACCACGTGTTCGCGATACCCTGAAGTACAGCCTACAGGTTGAAACAGAGGTATTCAGTGCCTGGCGTACGCATCTGGTGTAGCTGTCTCCCTACCGACCAAACCATTGCTCATCTTCGGAGGGTTTGTGGCTGGGCGTTGGCTTTGCAGGTACAACCCAGAGTACTCGATTGCAGACCCAGCTTGCACATTAGTCTTCTCGATTTTCGTTCTCTTAACGACGGTTTCCATCATCCGAGAGGTCAGCGACCTGCGTCTCGGCCCCTGCGGCAGCTTCTTAGGCCCTTGCCGCTGCCACCACTGTTGCTGGTGCTGCCACCGTTGCGGTTGCTAGTGATACTTCTGTTGAGGGGATGGTGGCTTGGCTTAGGAGAGTTGGATCTAGTAGACTGTCGGCGAACCCGTGTGTCCGTGTGGGATGTGGAATTCCTGAGATCTGGGTAGCTGAGGACTTGTAGTGGGGGCCAGCTATGACCCGATGCTTCTCTGTTCAACATATGGAACCTCTGTGCATTGTGAATGCAGTGGGTTGGTGTTGCTGCTGCTGCTGTCACATCGCAGGCGGTGAACGTGCTGATGGAGGGAACGCCCTTAGGTTTAGACGTGGCGGTGCTGCAATCCGACCTAGTATCTCTTCGAGGAGTGCTGGAAGTTCACGATCTCCATGTCTGGTCGATATCTATCGGGCGGCCAGCACTTGCTTGCCACCTCGTCGTATGTAAGTTCCCCTTACACCGGTTTTAACTCCCCCTGGGGCAAGGTGCATTGGTTGCTGTAGCCATCTATGAGCTGCATCTGCCCCAGGCCAACGGTAGAAACAGCCCAGCAGGCCTGCACAGTTGATGCTAATGCCGCTTTCACTGTTGGGGCAGCAGCAGAGCATATTGGTATCTCGCAGAAGCAGTGGCAGAAGAAGGAGCAACAGCAAATTATGGACTGGCGCGTGCATTTTATGTTTAGGTGATGAGGAGGCTGCACGGCGCGTTTTGAGGGCAGCTACCCTTCTCTGTCAGCGCAAACACGGCATTTTACACACGACTATTCAAGTAAAGCGCCGCTTTGCTGCTGCTGCTGCTGCTGCTAGTTGCCATGTTTGTGTACAGCTCGTGGGTGTCGCGTTGCTGCTGGGACACCGAGGCGTGTAGGCAGTTTTGTCATTGCATTATTGGTGTGCCGAGGATTGTTGTATAGACTCACTATTGCCGTAATGTGCACTTCCCTGAGGTGTGCACAAGATGGAGACACTGAATGTAGGGGAATGATTTGCCAGGATTTGGGCATCGCGGTTCACAGCCCGTTTTGGCTTCTGTACTCTAGTCCGTTGTTATTGTTGTTATCGTTGTCTCTTGCACTTCGCTGCTGTTGCTGCTGTTGTTCGGCACGTGTTGGCTTCGTGTCCAGCTTGGCTGCATGCTTCTTGGACATTGAACACCACAGGATGGTGCAGCGTTCTATTCAGCTTATGCGCAGTTGCTCATGCGGTATGTTACTGTTTGCTGTAGACGGACTTCTCGTCTGACGCCTCTTGCTGCGATACAGAAGCTCACAAGAAGTGCATGGAGCCTTTAACCAGAGCGGAACTTTGATTGAATTTGCATCTGAATTCTTTCTGCAGAGGTTGTTTTACTGGATGCTGTTGCGCCTGCTCACGAGCAGGCTGCACAATGCAGCTCCCGCTGTCGCTGCAGCAGCAGAAGATGTGAAATAAAGGACTCTTGTGCTCCCGCCATTGAAGCCGTGGCTGCTATACAAAGATAGCAACTATTCAGGAGGTCATGTGCCGCCTCTCATGGAGTTTTTTGCTTGGCAAGAAACAGCCTGCTGTGGTAGCAGTAATGGTGTACTCGTCGTAGTCCACTGCAGGAAACGGCATATATTGCCACCACGTTTAACCTTTTGCAATGACGCACCCAACATTGCATTTTCCTACCTTCCGCGCTGGAACAACTCCACCACGGCAGGGCACCAGCAGCAGGGGGCAGGGCCGGGTACTCAGCTCCGCAGGGGGCGGCCGGATGGTGAAGAAATTACAAGTGCCCGCGTGTATTGGAACATTCTTTACCGGCTGCAGAACAGCGGTAGAGCCAGGGCGGCCGTTAGCGTTTGGTTCCAGTGTTTGAAGGAGCGTTTTTTCGCTTGTAGCACACATAGCCATTCAGTCTCTATTGTTTCTCAGTATTATCTTGACCAGCGCACAATGAGAAAGGGGAGAGGTGGCTTTGAGCAGGGATGCTGTCTTAGGCTCAATGACGTTGCTCGAGGGGCACGACCCTTGGGTGGTGTAGAGTGCAAACAGATGCTTTGCGCGGGGGAGCCGTTGCAGGAGCTTTTAGCGACCCCAACCACACCAGGGAATGCGATCAGACGCGCCACAAAGTGCTCTGCTTGGTGGCAAGACAACCGCTGTTCGAGTGCTTTCTTTGTCTCGGCGGGCGCATGCAAACCAAACGCCGTTCGAGCAGTCTCATTACCTGGGAGCGCAAAACTGAGCTGGAGGTGTGGAGGGCGTCTGGAAAAAAAAAAACAAGATGGAGCCAGTGATGCATTGCCGGGTACTTGCCCATCTCGAATTCCAGAAGAGCGTGCAGCTCTTCAGCGAGAAGGCTTTAGCGCCTTCACGTTGAAGAGCACTCGTGGACTGGGAAGGGGAGGTGGGGAAGGGAAGTTTCAAAGTCACAAGCCCCTCAACTACTGCCTCGTGAGACGTGTAAAACAGTTGAATAATCTCGCAGCACTCAGGTATGTGATGCTAGCCTGCCTCGTGAGACCTGCCAACAGTCTGTGGGGGGTGTCGCAGGACGCAAGCGCGCTGCCTCCGCATTGTCGGAAAATACTCTGTTTTGTGGGAGATGAACATTGCATTGTCGCAGTGACATGTATGTTTGCAGCTGAATAGGAGTTAGTTGTCCTTATGTACAAACGACGCATAGAATCTCGTTGTTTAATGTAGTGACCCGCCTGAAGGGTCGATAATTGCCGACGGAGCCTTCGGTTCGTTCTCCGTCCTGCATCTCTGGCCATTCCCAGGCCTTCAGCCAGAGGAGAAACCGGATGCAAATTAAAGGAGGAGGATGTGGAACAACGATCGAAGCGTTGTACTTCACGTTTAGAGCTAGACCTATATTGACTCCATCAAGACAGATGACAAGCACAGGGTGGAGTAGCTTATTGGTACCGCGGAACTTACACTGTATTTTGAAAGGAATATTTAGCTACGAAAAACAAGACTGTGCTTAATAGTGAATATGCTCAAGCATTCCAATAAAAACCGTGGAATGCCATATTTTGCGTCTCCAATCAAGCAGAGAACGAGCTGGCTGCGGTCCCAATTTGGCTTCCCGTTATGGAAGACTTATGGGCTAAAATGCAAATTCTTTAATAATTGACATAAAACAGATATTCTTACGAATAATTCCTCCTCAAGTGCACACTCTTAACGCGCGCATGCCTAGAAGCCAACCCAAGCACGACACGCCGCTTGCCCGCCACCAAATTTTGCCACAACTGAACTAATGGCTTCAAAAAGCGGGAACGATGATGATCATAACTATGAACTTGAAAATGAAGTGCTAAGGAGGCGTATAGAATCCGTGGACAAGCTCATTGGTAAGGTTGTGTTCCAGATCCTGGTCTATATGCTCGGGCTTGCAGTGTAGCACGTGGTGACTCCGGCTCCACTAAGTGCTACACTGCAGCTCAACCGACCAAGGCTTCAGATGCCAAAAAACACTGATAGGCCAGAATGAGTTCAGAGGGCGGCGTCAGGACGGGCTGCTCATTTTTCTCTTACGTGTGTTCTTTACTGCAATGAGGTAACCGGAACTGTGTATCGCGATTCTCTGGAGGTATTATGTATGACCTAAAGTTTTGAATTGGTAATTATGTCAGAATGTGGTCCGCCGTTGTCTGGATGGCTAGAATACGCGGCTCTCACCCGCGAGACCGTGGCTAAACTCCAAGCGACGGAATATTGGCTGATTCCCGAGTTATTTGCTCTGCTCGGTTTTTAATGACTTGGGTCCTTCTTATGCACCGGTTTGGTCGATTTGGAAAATGCTACTCTCTGATTACTTCTACATATGTCACAACTACATTCTGTCTGCTGCTACTCCGTACACACGCACCGTTTGTATGGCTCGCCCAGCACCTTAGCTGATAGTTCCTTCTTTGTAAGCACTTCAGTACAACTATGCTTTTCCACTGCGTTTCTCTCCCCCACCTGTCGCGATTTTCTTTCCTACTAAGGTCCTACATCCCTCGATTTGTAGATGAATGCGTACTTCTCCACAAACCAACGGAGGACGCTTGTCGCTCCAGGCACAATGTAGACAGTCCCTTAAAAGTGCGCCAACAGTTGCTTATATCCTGTTTGTGGCTCACTCCATGGTACTAGTAGAAATGCCTCGTAAACGTATTAAGTTAAGAGCAAACTGCTGTTATTTCTCCGAATAGAGAGTACCAAAGGGGAAAATTGAGGCAGATTCTAGTGTATGAATTTCTTGTTGGGGTATTACCGTTCGACGCACGATTAAGCCAACAGATAGCCTATGAAAGTGCAAACAAACCTGTAGAGAGAACGACGAGGGGTGGACTTGCAAGGCTTACAGCTACCCTTTGTGGCTTTTGATTTCCCAGAGCTAGTGGGAGTTCTCCAGTCAGCGTCTGCTGCGTTGTGCCGATACACTGGAAGGATGCTTCGATGCTAAGCCCGAAATCTAGCTTGCAGTTAAGGACCGGTTGACTGCCTTTTAGTCTTAGTCTGTTCGCCTGCAGATATGGAAGAGGAGCGGCGAGAAAACAGCGAGAGGGCCTCTGCTGAGCTAAGGGTACAAATTGAGGCTCTAAGTGAGGGCTTCAGAGAGCAAGACAGACTTCTCTTCTCAAGCATCGGTGCCCTCAGCCTCAGGAATGCAGAAGCAAAGATGCATTATCAACAGCTTATTCAAAGCCTGCAGAAGCAGATCCAAGCAGCAGAGAGAGACGTTGGTAGGCGAATATCAGGCACATTACGGGGAGAGCTCCCAAAGAGCAGGACGCAGTGACCACTAGCTAGAGTCAGCCTCAGCTTGTGAAAGCTTTTAAAGAATAAGGGAAAGTTATAATGGCAAAAAGTACTTTCCTTGTAAGGTATATATTCTACCATTTTGTTAGCGGGCAGCTCGAACTTGTCTTGTGTGGGGTGGGGTGTTTGCAATGTGTGGACAGCTCTGGCTGAACAGGACGTGGCAACGACGCGCTGCTTGAAAGAAAAAGAACTACAGAATGCCAAAGATGCCCTCCACCATCTGGAGGCAGAGCTAGAAAGAATGACATTTCAATTTGCTGAGCTCCTCAACGTGCTCCAAGCCCTAGACCAATGGCACCCAGTTTCACAATTCGTCACCCTCGCTACGATTCCATAAGATATAGATGGGACAGTTCCTAGCGACCTCAGGTGTAGGTGTGGTGCTCATTTCTCTGTTGAACTAGGGAGTGGGCTCGAATTTTTTTCTTATCCATTCGTTTGTAGGATACAACGGAGAAGCTGGCAGAAAGAATTTCCATGTCTCAGGGAAGCTGGGCAGCTGAGCAGAAGCGGACGCCTCTGGAGCTACGCATGAAAGAAGAGAGCCCCATAGTGCTTGCCAATGCCGTTGAGCTGCCAGGCGATGGAGGTACGGGTCCCTGACATCTTCGGGGCTGTGCCAGCTATGCTGCTAACGGTTCTCCCGTACTAGTCTGCTCTATTTTTGTGGGTTATTTTGGTTTTTGTTCATATTTTCCTACCCTGCGTCTCTGTCTGTGAGTCACCTTGATCCATTTGTCGCTATCTCTTGTATCGACAGAAGCACAGTTTCCCGGTGAACTGCGGGAGTGATGGGGGGTAGCGATCCCTCCTCAGCGCAGTGCTCTGGCAGCTGCTGTGTGAGCAGAAGGCCGAGTTGGATGAGGGTAGGACGTTTCTCACCAAGAGCACACTAGCCCCATCGAGGCATTTGGAGGTCTACTGCATCGATGTGCTGCAAGAGGGAGCGCAGCGTCTAAGAGGGACTGTACTTTGTGTGGACCGCCAACTACTGAGATGCACGTAGCCATCCCCTGTATAAACATGGATTATAGTGACGCTATAAGCTGGTTTTACAGTGGGGGGCGTGTACAAGTACCTCTCCCTTCGCTCCTCCTGTGCTCTTGAGGAGCCTCTAGCTAAGTGCTTGCTTACACCAGCACAAGCCACGATGACCTAATTTCTATAGTCATCGTCCACTCCTATTAGTTTGGAGACGCTGGGCAGGCACGAGGCTTGAAGAAAGGCGAAGCCTCAAGCATCCTTAAAACCAATGTTCATACATTGCAGCAGGCGAAGCCCAGCGACCAGGGTCGAGAGCTCTTCTGTCCATTATGTTCGGTTAACGTCCCCCTTCACTCCCTCTATTTGGTAAAAGCTGGAGGAAATGCTACGACACTGCTTGCCGCCCAAGATGAGCTCGACCGAGTGGGCAGCACTGCACTAGCTGGCGATGCGGAGCAGGCGCCCACGGGCGACCGTACTGCTCTTCTTTTGTTTCTGGTTGAAATATTCGAGAGATTGCCTACAATGAATGTAACTTTAAATATGTAAGATATATAGCGAGGCCAGGACTTAGCGACGGTGCTTTAGGGTCTGGGGAGGGTGAAACAGCGCCTGCTGACGTCGGAAAGCCGGCTGTGTACGCTCGACCAGAAGAATGCCTGAGGCTGTGTCCTCCACTAATAGTTCACAATATCCTCTGGAATTAATATGTTTCTTCTGTCTACTAAAACTGCAGCAGAACAAACTACCAAATGAACGCAACAGCTGAGCTGTAGCTACACCAGCAACAGCAGCGGTAACAGCAGCGGGCGGCCGCAGTGGTCCGGTGCTGGCGGCCTCCGCGTGGTCGCCATAGCAGCACTGATTACTCGTCGGTTTTGCGTATTTGTTTGGCTCACCTTGATTGCAAATTCTTCTATCGTTTAAAACCATTTACATAAGTGGTGTCAGAATCATATTGTCTAAGATGTCAGCAGCAGCGGCAGCTGCAGCAGCAGCGGCAAACCACGGGTCGGTGGAAGGGGCTCCCACAGCGGCTGGGCGAGAGGGCTATCCACCTTCTTCGGGAGCAGGAGAGGGGCCGCAGATGCAGCAGCAGTCTTATCCATTTATGGTGCAGCAGCACCTCGCGGCGCAAGGTATATCTCACGGCTATCCGGGCATGCTGGACGGGGGGGCCCCTGTAGACCCAACGCAGGCTCAAATTGCTGCCTTCGCAAACCAGGCAGCCATGTACGGGCCTTATGGGTCTCCTTATGCCCTCAATATGCCTGCTGCTCCCTCTGGTGGCCCGTACTACCCTGTAAGTCCCCAAAACACATGCCCACGATGTGCACAATAAATGACTGTGCCTATAGAGCACAGCACAGCAGCACCAGGCCGGAGAACATGCCGAGCAATCTAGAGGGTTTTCAGAAAGTTGCTTGCATATGCAGAGATGGGAAAGTGGGAGGGGGCCGTGCCCGGTGCCAGTGGCTGGCGTCCTGTGATGTCTAGGGTAAGGAGGGGCAGCAGGCACGGCAGATATTGCTGCTGCCTCGTCCCTGTCCAAGTTCACAACAGCATAATTCGAAAAATGTAAAAGTCTAGTGTGGGGTTTGCTGTTTTGATGTTTTCAGGGCTTGGGGGCACATATCCCCTTCGCTGGCAACGAGACCTTCAGCCTGCCGGGCCCCTCCTACTATGACCCCTATGGAATGCTCAACCCTGCTGCATGTGTTACTCCTCTACCACCCCCTGAGAATCGCGAAGTTGAACAGCCCAAACACCTCCGCCGAAAGGCGAACAAAAAGTGGTTTGGGTGCTGCTAAATCCCCAACCCAAATTTCAACACGAAGCCATTAAATATCGCTCAACCTAGTGTAGAAAGTATTAAAGGCAGCCTTGTTTACCGTAAAAGCCAAAGACCCAGCTTGTCCACCGTAAAAGCCAAAGACCCAGCCAAAGATCAGCCCCTCAGTATATGGATATGAAGACTGAGAGTTGGCTCGCAACCGTCACCCCCCAGTAGTTTCAGAGTCGACCCTCTCCAGTACGGAGGGCCCCTCACGCTCCCCCTTCATTCAGCGACCCCAGCCGCTAGCTAGCTAGCTAGCTGCTGGCGGCGGCAACGGTCGGGATTTGTGGGGCGTGCAGCGCGTGACGGGCCTCAAAGAAAGCCGCGATGATGGCGTGTAGCTGTAGAGAACAAAATGTTTATCGTTTAAGTTGGAACTTATCGACTGAAGTTAAAGGTTTAGGTTCTGCCAGGGTTTCATGTGCTGCTATGTTTTGAAGTGTAGCAATATCTGGCTAGGGTTTAGGGCTGAGCTGAGTTACATTCGCCAGCGGCGGATACCAGCTGTTATATGCAGAATGAAACATCCCCCCACTACGACACAGGGTTTAGACGTCTAGCAAGTGCGTACCTGGACGTAGTCACCAGAGCCTAAGGCGAGTCTCTCCCTGCGAAGCGACAAGAAGTCTTCAGCATATATAGGGGTTTAGGGCTTACTATGACAGTTGGGCGTTTGGTAGCGCAGCTGCTGCAGTATATCCAGGGGGACTGGTTAAACACTCCAGTGCATTGCGCAATTCTGTTAGAGGTATTCAGCACGTGGACTAACAGTAAGCCCTAAGGTCTTTCTACAACGAGCCTAAAACCGTACAACTCACTCGATGTCGGCGAGGCGGGTCACAAGCGTCAGAGCCACGGGAACAGGCAGCTTCATATTTTGCATCTGACAATGCAGAGCTGCAGCAAAAACCCACACGCTAAAACCATAAACCTTGCACTCAGGTTGCCGTAGCCCTAGGTCTCGTCAGGAGGGCCAAACAGCAAAGGCCAGTGGCCTCAAGGTGCCGTCGTACACACGTACACCCGAACCATGGTCTCCTGAATTGGGTCGCTCTAAGGCTACACACACTTCTGGCCTAGGTTTCCAGTATCTGTGAGCTTTTGTGAAGACAAAACCCCTAAATCACCATGCGCCTACCTCCAACCCAATCCCGCACGGAGTAACCTCTCCTCGTTACCAACCCATGGAACTCTACACACAGACAGTAGTTAAACACCTGGCAGCATATTGCTCTTCATTTCAGTATGGTGACAATACTTGGAGGTACCTGGGAGAGTACAGTGCCCAGCGCTGATAAAACCAAACCCCAGGCAGCTACAATACAACACGCCACACAGCTGCTCTCAAGAGAAATGGGCCTCTGCAGCTCTCAAATGCCTGCGGAAAGCGAGTTGAAGGCCTAAGACTCCAGCTAACGGTTTAGACAATGGCAAGCGGCCCCATGATTTAGGGATTACCTAAAGAGCACGTGCGCAAGTCCTTCTCTAGGAGAACCTGCATAATGGACTTGACTTCACTTGGCTGAGGTAACCCCAGCACGCGGTGTACCAACTCGCCGTCAACTGGCTCCCCAGGGTGAGCCATGCTGGCTGCCTGCGCAAACCCTCAACTTCAAGCTTTCAACCCTCAACCCGAAGCCCCAATCGTATCAATTCGGTCTGCCAAAAGACAAACCTACACGGAAAACCCACCTGCATGCAATTGAGGAGCCGACGCATGTCTCCACTGGCTGCGGAAGCGACGACGCAATTCTAGCCATAAGAATCAAACTCTGAGCTCCTAGTTCAACTTGTGGAACACCTCAGCGTCTAATGCGTTAAATGCAACGTTCCGCACCCAAGTCCACACTTACCGATCCGCAGGAGCGCTTCATAACCGTCTTCCGTAACGGACATGCTGCGACAACGCAATCCCCAAAACCCGAAATCCTAAACCTAAATCCTGGGGAAGGAAACTTGGCTACAATCAGGCATACGGCCTCGGGTTCTGCATTTGGAAGACGAACCTCTCCAACATCGCAGCCTCCTCCGCTTTCCGCCTCAGCTGAAGCAAAAATCATCCCATTATCCCAAGCACATACGGCCTACTTAATATCCCTTTATCGCCGCAATAATGGTCCCGCAGAACCAACATTGCCATGTACCACTATACAACCCCAGCGCCCTCCCAAAGTCTCAGCACGTGTCCCTAAATCTTAGTCTTACCGCCTCCGGTTTGAGGGGAGTGAAACGCATGCTGCAAACAGAAAACGCAATGAAAGGGTCAACGTTGCGATGATCAACTGCAGCAAAAGCCAACTGCAAAAGCCAACACCAATGGCAGCAATAGCAGCAACGGTAAACGTGACTCGATCAAATTACCTCGTGCATCTGGACTGAATCGCGGGTGTTATCTTGTTGACAAAGTTGCATATAAGGCAAAACCGCACATTCCGCGCGTATGTTTCCATGACTGCGAAGAACAAGCCCTCAACAACAAACCCTGGACCATACACACTCACAAATATGGAGTACATTCGACCGGCATCAAACAATTTCAGATTTTATGGGCCATTTACCGAGTGTCCCAGGAAGCGCGACAGGAATCAAATGGCCAAAATAGCATAGACATAGTAGCTACTGCTGCATCAATAGCAAGTGCTGGTGAGGCAAAAGCAACAATGGCAGACTTCTTCTAAGCGCATTCTGAGCCGCGGAGGTCATTTGATCCGCTTCGTCCAGTATAATCAACTTGAGTTTGGGGGGCCCGGAGGAAGCAGCGCCCGACCTACGAACACATCATCCGTACACACTAAACCGCAAGATGTGCAGTGACTAGAAACGCGAAGCCCCAATACCCACCGCAGCACACTAGTCCCAGGCGCTGTTCTGGCAATTATGGTTCAGGACCCGTCGCACCACCCCGCCTCCTTAGCACAGTTGGTAGTGCGTTTGATTCGTAATCAAAAGGTCCACCCAAGCTA